TTCTTCTGTTACAGGCAAGGCAAAAACCAGCAAAGTCTGGCTCTGAGGGTAAAGCTGAGCAGTTGCATAAAGAAAGAGGGATGTGGTCAATTTGTTTTCTCTACAATTAGCACACAGGACATTTTCCAACTTGCCTTTCAACCCAATAGCACGTATGAGTATAAGTATATTTTGTGTATGAAATCTTAAAGACCACCCATAGCAAAGAGACTCTATTGCACTGTAAAAAAAAAAGCACTTTAATTTTCATTTAGGAATACGTTTCCCAGGTGGTTGGAGTCTTATTTGTATAGTCCATTAAATCTGTCATTGTCAAAATATCTTATTAATTATAATATTGGCTCCTACTTTGAAAACGAGAAAGTTAAAATGTTCAGCAATAGTACTTCAGTGGGAGAGGCTGTATGCTTTAATACACAGAACTGATGATTCTGCAATAAGTGCAATCAAAGCAATATGGACACTTTGATGCCTTATATTAAATATATTTAATATTTAAATGCTTAAAAAACATTAGGTGATACAATTGTGATATTTTCACAAATTATTTGAAGGACTGAAAAATATAAAACCTGTGATAGAAATGCCAGTAATCTGTTGAAAATACACAAGCCAAGTGGATTCAAAGGTGATTTTTATGTACATCTATTACGTCCCTAAATAACCAGTTCTAACCTGCTGGCTACAGACATTTTTAGAATAGTGACAAATGGTGAATTAGGGCATATATATATATATTTACATTTATCCACGTAGGCATTTCTATCAAATACTCCACACACAGGAAAATGAAGGAAAAAACAAACATTTCTTAAACCAAAAATACATTTCCTAAGTGTCATATGATGTAACCAACAGCAAAGTGCCCTAATCTGCAGACCACTCCCCAGATTCCCACCCCTGTCTGAAGATTTCTACAGACCTGACTTCAATTTGAACTTCAATTTCACCAAATCACTGTTGAACCAATATCCAATTAAATAGGACCAACACGTAGAGAGGCATTTAAATTGATTCAGATCACAACAGTATGATACCAGCTAGCCATTCTTTTTCCTTGCTTTTCACACTTTATAAGGTAGAAGTTCAGTTTCTCCTCTGTACATTCTTTCTGAGGAACACAATCAGGTTAGATTATCCTTTTAAACATACAAAAAAAACTATTTATTTTAAAGATACAGCAAAAGCTCCTGCAAACATATCTGTTTAGCTGGCAGAACCTGTCCTCCCCCTGACCTGGATCTGCGCTGTGGGATGAATGAGCTGACGGACAGTTCGATAGCAGCAAGCTGTTGGTGAATGACTGTGCACACAAAAACAAACTGTCCACCCCCTTAAAAGCTGTGCTTGGATGGGTGCCTGTGAGAATGCCAGGACAGTCACAGCTCCCTGAGTTCAGTGATGAGATGGAACTTGCTGGATCCTCTACAAGCCTTGGAAAGATGCTGAACCACAAAACGTACAGCAGGTATGGACTGATTTGAAAGACCATTAAGTAGCTTAACAGCACAAAAGGGATGCTTTGCACTGTAGAATATACTTCTTGTCTCCTCATATGTATCTAATAAGGTAGGGTGACAACTTCCTTCTTCACTGAGAGCAAACAGTCCTATACCCCACAAATCCTGGGTACCAGCTGGTCCTCAACACTGTGACAATACTAGAGTCACATATGGCCAGCAGCCATATCACACTGCAGCTCACAGCTGGCAGCCCACTGAAGCTCAGCAGGTGTGAGCCTGGTCAGTACCTGGATGGCCTCCTGGGAAATACTAAGGTTGCTGCTGGAAGTGGTGCTAGTGGGGCCAGTAGGGGGAGCTCACCCTGCAGTCTATGTGGGTCCTAATGCCCCAGTATAGTGACGGGGACACTATACTGTAAAAAGGCTCCATCCTTAAGATGAAACATAAAACTGAGGCTCTGACATTAAAAATTCCAGGGTGTTTCTTGAAAAGAGTAGGGGTGTAACCCTGGCATCCTGGCCAAATTTCCCACTGCCCCTTACCAATCATGGCCTCCTAATAATCCCCATCTATGAATTGGCTTCATCACTCTGTTCTCCTCCCTATTGAAAGCTGATGTGTGGTGAGCATTCTGGAAAACTATGGCTGCCGTCGCATCGTCCTGACTGCACATTGGTCGTGGTGGAGGAGAGTCCTCATTACCTGTAAAGCGCTTTGAGTGGAGTGTCCAGAAAAGCTCTATGTGAAAGTAAGCAATTATTATATCACAGCAAAGCCCTGGGTTCAAACAGATCCCACCCCATGCTGAGGAATGGTCACACATTTGTTGAATTACCAGGAAGGGTTGTGCTACTAACATGAGAATAACAGAAGCCAACACGGGCTTGCTATTCTATTTTGATTTTGGGTACTATGGTGCAAGGTTCTGGGGCTGTGCTACATAAGAGATCCCACTCATAATAGACTCTCTAGCAGTGCTTTAAACACCAACCAATGTACAGCACAGGAATATATTACTACCATTGCTCATGGAGATTATATCAATATTGTACTATGTGTTTATTAACAATAAAAGAGTGCAATTCTGCAGCATGTTTGAAAGTTGGAAACACCTAGCTGTCTGAGCAGTAGACTTCAGGAAAGGATACAGCAGGTGATATGTTGAACCAAAGCCACATTTAAGAGACAAAACCATACTGTAAGTCAATCATTACAAGCAAATGAAAAACAATGATGAACTGACTGCAATGAAGTCTATTATAAGCATTATTTCCAGGGGCTATGGCTGAATGATATACAGTACATGAAAGGTAAAATCTTTATCAGGTAAAAATAGAACTATTACAAATGTTAAAAGTTGAAACCATGCAGTTTAGAATACACCCCACAACAATGGAAACCAAACCTAACAGTAACTACAATAAACAAGATAGTTACAATATTGAAAATAGCAATACAATGCCACATAACTTTTAAATGTCCAGTGTATCCTGCTGTCCACCTGTATCTTGGCAATTCACTTAGATATTTCTAGTTAAAACATTTTTAATCAATTCAGTTATGCTTTTTAGTGGAGTACCCTTACTCAACCGCTGCTGTTGTCATTAGGACGGCTTTTAAAATTCTACCTTGTAATAATACTGAGTAACAAAAATGGATGTTTTTTCTATATTGTTAATGTTTTTAAACAATAAAATAATAAGGATTTGAGCTCTTGATTTTGGCATCAGTTTGACTGATCATTCATGGCTGACATTGATATACTTAAGTGACTGTTTAACAAGCACCAAACCTCCTTATTGAGCCAACTGGGCACAGGTGATGAGGTTATTTAAAACAAATATCAAGAGAAAAAAAAGAACTGATACACTTTGCCCCACTCACGAAAAGAACAACTGCTTTGTACAGTTGCCAACAGCTCACGTAGGCTTGCCAGGTGTGGAGCCGAGTCTTCTTGAACGATGACGTTTTGTGTTGATCTCCCCAATGGAAGTTAGCAAGTGTGGTAAAGACGTGCAGAACTATCTTATTGTGGTGTACATCAGACCAATCGATAGAAAGGTCCTTGTATAAGAGCAAGAGGGCAAGAGTGTCTAGTTGCAAGAGAGCTCCACTGGTAATGACTGATGACAACATGAATGCTTGTAACTGCACTGAAAAAGTGTCACTTACATCCATGCTTGTAGGCTCAGCAAGATACGACAACCTTCCAGCAGGACAACGCACATCCTTGCACTGCTTGCGTTACAAGGGCTTTCTTGTTAGATGAGGATGTGAAAATTATGCCATGGATGTCTTGCTCAACAGATTTGAGACCTAGTGAACAACTGTGGGATAAGCTGGAACAATGTGTGACATTTAGGGCTCAAAGAACACTGAACAGGCACACGTGTGTCCAGGCTCTATGAGGAGAATGGGGCTGCATCTGCGAAGCATGCATCAGAGTTATACAGCCAGTACACACTACTAGCCTGTGACTTTCAAAGAAGACCCTCTGGTGGTCAATACTATTGATGACAAATGTTGATCAGCATTTGGCAATACGTCTTGTCTGTTCTTTGAAATTAGTTCAAGTTAGTGACCCTGCTACAAAACAATATACAATTTTAACTGATAACCGATTCTGGTGTTATAAGATGAATATCCTTTGATGCTCAATATAAAAAAAACAGCAACAAAAGTTATATATCTATGCAATGGTGAACTTCCAATTTGAAGGATATTCCTAAATTAACATAATTTGGAAAACCATTTTTGAATCGTAACTCAAAACAAAAAACGTTATGTTTTTTTTTACAATGCAAACAGAACCTGCAGATTCCTCAATTAAAAAATCCACTTAAGGCTACGCATTTGTTGGTAAAACGCAAACTGTAGCTTCACTATTAAAATCTCAGAATAAGACGCATACAACAATTCATTAAAAAATGAGAAATAAGTCTATAAAAATACACTTAATATACAAAGACACTATATTCAAATACATATACATGATTACAATTCATGCTTACCAGTATCCTTGCCTCCTTATGTGAAAAGCTCAACAGGGACAGGATTCTTCATATCCTTGAATTTAGCAATAGAGCTGCAAATATCAGTCTGATCATATAAAATGCTCTCTTAAAAAGACATTATTGTTCTATAAGAAAGTAAAATTCAATTTCAATCAAGCCTCAAGATTATCAGTATAAATTGGATAATTCTAGATACAATATAGGAACATCAAACTTACTTTAAAACGTCATTTTAAAATAAACATTTTAATTTCAAAATTTAAAAAACTTTACATAATGCATATGTTCTCTGATATAACTAATACTTTTTAACTAATTTTTTGTAGGGAGATGGCTTCAGAAGAAGAATCAAATGTAACATTTTCAACTTAAAGGCAAAGGGTAATTTGAATTATATTAGTCGTGTTAGTTCTGGTTAGAAATCTGAAAATGTTACCAGCAACTTCTAAACTAATGATTTACATCAATTCCAAATACGAGGCCACAAAAGGTATTTAAATAAAGGCTAATACACATCCTTGCATTTGATTAAGAATAAATTTTTAAAGAACTGTTTAAACAGCTAACATGACTTACAAAATATCATTGATACATAATAAATAAACTTGTCAACATAAGCAAATCAATTGATGAGAACAGCTTAGAAAAGCAGTACAGTACCACTGTTTCAAAAAACAACCATCTCTACATTTTGTACAACGTCACCATAGCACAGTGTCTCAGACAATTTTTGGTATATTTACTGTGTGCGCTGTTTCTTTTCAACAATATCTATTGGTGGGTTTAAATGACCTTATGGAGTAATTTCATGTTCAAAAGTAATGTAATGAATATGAATATTTCATACAACTTTGAGATCACTTTCCATTTATATTCACCCTTAAAGGAAGTCATTTGATTTTCCACACATTAAGTGGAAATTGTTTTCCTACACACTGTGTGTTGCGACCTGAAATTCCACATTAAACAGCAAAGCTTCCCTGCATTCTTGAAACTGCAGACGGCATAATTCAGTTGCGTTTTGGTGGATTCCTGGTGGACTGAAGGTTCCTGGTGTTGTCATCAACAATTTGGAAAATCAAATGGACAAAAACACAAAAAGAAGAGAAATGAGTCTGGCATGAGCCCCACACACACACAGACTCTCTAAGAAAACAATGGCTTTTTATAATGCCCAGAACACAGTTTTAAAGAAGATTATGTTCGTATCATAATCAGAAAGAAGCAGAAAAAATGCCCTTTTTTAGACTGTAATATGAAACGCCACACAAAATTAAATTTCTGAAGAACAGCATTTCAGTTGATGCTTGACACTCCACATTTACTTTAATAACTGTGACGACAGGCCAAGACACAGCAGCAGTGCTTTTGTTGCAGGTCCTCCTGTTTTGGCACAGGCCAACAAAAGATTACTTCATTGTGTAAAGAAAAAATAAGTACAAATACAAAAAACACCAAAAGACTGACCTAACAGGGTTCACCTGAAACTTCTATTTCAGATAGTAATTCCAGACTGTGCTTTTAAATACAGGGGATAAAGTAATATCTCTTGCACGTAAACATAGCTAAACAGCTACCTTATTTTGAGCAGCATCCTTGTATGAAGTTTTTCAATTGAGGCAATGTTAAGATGACACAGCACTGCCTTTAGCACTGTTGTGGGGGAAACATTCTTCTGGGATATCTAATCTCTCATCAATCTAATGTAACCAATTTTGCAGAAATTGAATTACTTGACAGCATTTCAGATGTCATCTTAAATTTGTAAAGTACTTGAGACTAAACAAAGCAATTCTAATGTTGAACTTTCTTTTTCACACAACTAAAAATGCCACCAAAATAAAGATGCTCTGCATCCTATAGGTCTTCAGTTGCTCTGGTAGAAATGTGGCCAGAAGGAACGCTGCACGTGAATAAATCCAGTTCAACCAAATAAATCTTTTATACACACAGCTGGGGACATGCCTTTTACAATATGAGACCAAGAACCATAGATTTCAATATACAATTATTTCACTGCAGTTTTCACAATACAGGCCCATATATTAATATTTTGATTTTTTTTTTCCTAGAAGTTCCCAAGCTTTTATGATTAAATATGCAACTGCTAGAACTTCACTCTGTCACTTGGTAAAATGCAGGTTAAATCAGGTCATAAAGTAATGAAGGAATATTTTCTTAATAACAAGGTAGAAATCATAAAAGTAATTGTATGCTTTTAGCTGTAAACAAAAATAACGTTGGACAACAAATATACTTCACGTTTAAACCAAGGGTTTAGGCATTGCTTTATACAAACCTATCCTTAATCTTTTGCTAATCACCAATATTTTGTCAATCAGAAATTTTCACAATGCATATCAAGGTTAGCAAAAAGTCTTCCAATGTGTGTTCTTTTTAATGTTCGAACCTCCTTTAAGATATTGAAAAGTACAACTCACAATAGTCTTTATTATGGGCCACACTTTTTAAAGACCAAATAAAGACTTTGCATTTAAATACGGTTTCACACTTTTTATGTTGTCACAAAGGGGCTAAACATTAAATTTGTACAGCATTCCCAATAATCCAACATATTAATGACACGTCCCAGAGAACAACCACTGCATTATGGGAACTAGTGCAATCTGGAAAGGCCGAGTCTTTGTGACAAGGCAGGCACACAGTTAAATACAGAGATACATAAACTCCTGGAGCAATGGCAGATATTTTAAGGCCATTTTAAATGACAGAAAACATTGCAAGTAAAGCTGAAGACCAAAACTGAAATTATCCATCAGTTTGAAGAATTGAAGTGTAGACTGTTCTCCAAGTACAAAGACTACTGCATTTGATCAGAAAAGTGTCCCACTCTTTTCTGTCTGCTTTTGTGAAGTCAGAAATACCACCAGACTCTTTAAAAGTTCTGTCAAGCGGTTATGACTGTTTTAGCCGCTTGCGTGGAATGCCAAAAGGAGGACACTGTGCAGACGCCAGGGCTCGGAAGGCCTCTGCGACTAAGTGAGGGTGGGAGTGGATCATCGATTTCCAGCCTGCAGTTTCCATGATGTCTGTTGCATGACTGCAAACACAAAGAAAATTCCAATCAGACTGCAACTGAAACTTCAGAAAAAAAGAGGATGAACTGAGAAGAGAAGATTAAAAAAACGACAAGACACTTGGTGGGGGGGGGTCATAAATTTGTAAACATAGAGAAAAAAATGAGAACAAGAAAATTATAAAACTAACATGTCTTAAATATGACTAAGAGTTCCAAAATGCCCAAATGCTAAATTGTTGAATAATTTCATTTACGTTTCTAAAGACTTAATTTAACAATGTGACCTTGACAAGTATAGAAACATGTTGTTTTTCTACTCATCCCTGGTGATAACAGAAATGTGTGAAAAAGCATTAAAAGATTAAAAAACACTTGGGAACTAAAAAGCAGGTGATAATATTTGGGTTCTATTCAACTAGTCAGGTTCACGTTTAATAGGTGCAGTGCTACTTCAAACACGAAAAACATGCACCAATTAGACAGATTTCAATGCATCTCGCCTCGGCTGATAGGAGTCTAGTACAAATCACGCGTTACACGTCTGATAATAACATACTTGCTGTTCCAAGTCTTTCCATCTTTGCAGCCCAGTTGTCTTAGGACACTGCATCTGTGGCGAGAAACAATAAAAGCAGAACAGTTGTAAACTGGAGACTAGAAAATAAGGTATTTGCTCAAAGAAAACAGAGACACTTGCCTGTTGATGAAGTCTATTGCTTGTGCTTTCAACTGCTCGGCGCTGTGCAAATCTGCCAGAATAAGTATATCCGCAACATTTTCTACAGAGAGGCTGCTACACAAAGCTTCTTCGCACATGACCTTTAGGCGCTCCAAAGCATACTGAGAAAACAAACAGGAGGCATTAAATGAACAGCAATACCCTAAGAAGTCTTAAAGTCAAGGGAATAAGGTTGCAAAAGCTAGGAACAAAACATTTTTAAAGCAGTTCTTCAACAATGGTATGCTATTATTAGGAAGAGGAAAGAAACAGAGGTAGATACAGAGGAGGGGAACCTAAGACTACCAAGATTCAAGGGTTTTCTGAATACAATTGCAAAGACACTGGTGTAGAAATTAAATAATGATGTGCTGCTTTTTTTTGCTTGCTTATTGTTTAACAACCTGCAGATGACAAAATACTGAAATGGGCAAATTTAATTCATGGGAGTCTAATCCATTTCCCTGTGCTTAATATTGTGAAACGAAACAGTGCAAGTAAAAAAATAACTGAGTGTTCTGATAAATACAATTAATGGAAACACACAGGATAGTGCAGACATTATATTAAAGTGTCTCAGTAGACAGATTTCAGACTACTAACAGCACCATCACTTTTTTTACTTACTTTATCTGCTGCTGCTAACAAGTTGTCAGCCATCTTCTCAAGATTTGGTGCTTTTCCTGTGTAAATGAACCTCATCATCTCCTTAAACACATCAGGGTCAACATCATTTATATCTACTCGATTCTGCAGAGACAGAAGTGTGCAATTTTGCGTTATCACAGAGTCACTTAATTTGTCAGCGTTCACATTTTAAAATAATTTATTATAAAGTTCCGACATACTAATTAACAACAGCAAAGTAAATCACATTTTTCTCGGTATAAACAGGTGTAAATATAATCAGTAGGGAGAACAATCAGTAATATTGAGATTCATGGACAGCATTTCACTAACTAGTATAACAAAAGGCTCTATCCAGGCTTATCTGTTCAGTACATGTTATAACACTAAATCAGTTACTATGCAATCTTCTAATAGAATATTAGATATAATTAAGTTTTTTTAAAGACAGGTTCATCACATCTGTGGTCAGAAGATTAAGTACACTGGTGTAACAGGAGTTAAAGTAAAACTAAGTAAGAAAAGTGAATATTTTACTCAACCTTAAAGCTGACAGTATGCTTGTATCACCATTGTCTGAAGAAAAATCTAATAGAAATACTGCAAACTTCTCGCAATTTTCATCAAATACAAAGTCTCCGATTCGTGGGTCTTATATGAATATCTTCTGCTAGAACACTATAGAGACATGTCCCTAGTGCAACAGAGGTTTTTTTATTAAGACATGGACAGCTTTGTTCCTCTTTTCACATCTTTATTTCTAACCTATGTGGAGAGGAAGATTAAGACTTGATCAGTACCAAATTAGGAAGCAAAAAACTTGCCTTTTTACTTTCCTCCATTTCATGTTCAAACATGGCATTAAAAACAGGTGATCGTGCTGTAAAACAGGAAAACAAAATCTGAAATGGATACACAAAAATTTTATTTTAGAGGTATGTGTAAGGTTTCCTCATAACTGTTGTGACAACCCAAAACCGAACCCAGGCTACACCTTGGATAGGCTCTCAGTCCTTCATTAGGTACACACAAGCAGGGACAACTTAGAGAAAAAACTGTTGCAAAATTATTAATGAACCTCTTTACCTTTGCACAAACACAAAAACACAGGATGTCATATAAAATTAAGGCAAACAGCTGCTGTTTTCAAGGGAACACTTTGGATTTTATCAAGTATTTTCACCTGTTCAACACGGATGTCATTGTGCATTTTTGTTTTGATTTTCAGACAAAACCCATTATTATATTTTTATATTATGATATATTTGGCTACCCGGAAACCGGGTAAAATTTGCAAGTGGCCCTCATTTCAGAAGATATGTTTGATACACTCCTCTGAGAGACAGAGTTAAGCAGCAGTTTCTGCACTGAAGATTACTTAATTATACAGTACTGCTCACACAGAGATAGATGGTGAAAGCCAGATGCCCCTGCTTCTTCTGTCAGGCAAGATGCCGGGTGAGAAGAAAAACTGGATTAAACCCTCTGTGAGACCTCACCTGCTAATATGGATTTGTGAGCTTTGAACTCCTGTCCTCCTACGTGGAGGCTGCAGTCTGTGAATCGCGAGCACTCCCAAAGATTTCCTAAGTCATCTGACAAGCGGCATTCAGGAACCTTCAACATGTTCATATTGGACTGACCGGAAATATTCACTGAATCTTGGACCACGCTTACCTGAAATGTTAAAATTAAAATATTCATCTTACTTTAATAAAAACATATGAATGTTTTGAAGCAACTTTGGAAATCAAATTAATATCTGTGAGGAAGAAAATACGCATCTGCTTGTAAACTGTGACTTGGTACTGCAGAAATTATTACAGAGCACTGACAGAGCAAACACACCATAAAATGGATACATTATATACCTTCAAATACTTCTATATTTTCACAATGCCAGGCAATATGTGAAACCACAGAGACAGAAAATAGGACTGGTTTAATTTCTAAAATATTTTAAAGAACTTAACAAAAAGCAAAAAAATCACGTTTCAACTTTAAGGTCTAGCATGAAACTGACAGATTGACATGGGGCAAAACACTACAGCTGGGAGAATAATTAAATATTCACTCTTGTCACCGTCTCATCCTGCAAACACTGAATTAGGTGACCAGCTTGTGCCAGGCCCGTTTGGCCCACTGCTCATCACACATTCAGAACCTTTAGCTCTCCATCACATATAGAAAGTATTTTATTCTGAGAGGTTTAATTTGAAGTGATTTTCTCCAGTCTTATTCCTGCCAGAGGCAATAACACAATTTTCCCGTTGTCAAAGAAGAGCTTTGTAAGAGAAAGATAAACCACAAATGCAAGGCTAACCTGCTAGCTCAATCATAAAGCATCGCCAAGCACAGTCCACATTCATTAGTGTCTTCCCAGAGATGTCTTTAATTAATGTAGAAAGATATTCCATCTTCAATTTACAACTAATCTGCTTTAAGAAATTGCCAATTTCCCTTATAAACCTGGCAAATACTTGTTACAATCTTTTTTTTTATTTCAATAATTGTATTCATAGCAAATTCATTGGACAGCTTATTTAACTTGTCTTCCCTAAGTGAAAATATGATGCACTACTTTCACACCACATGCTCCCTAGGGACACATTTCAATTATTTTTGCGACTCCAAATAATGACATATAATTACATTGTAATCTTGCCAAGAGAATTTCACACATTTTCCAGTAAATACTTTGATCAAAGCAACATTAGGAACAGTTAAACATCCATCATTTTCCCCAGTCACTAATCAGTCTGCTCTGGCAGAAAGAACCCAGCAGCACGTGTGCAATACATATGGCACTGCGGTCAGAGCCCTCTTCCCTGGTTTTATTTAAAATTCATAGCCCTGCTGCACTGCCTTCTACTATGGCAATTAGATGGAAGTGGCAAAGTTAATAGGATTTACATTCTTCTATTTCCCCTTACATTAAGTTGACAGTATCGATAAAAATAAATCACTATAAAGTCAGCCACAACACTATTAAACCATTTCGTTACTGGCACAATCTAGACTGTGTGGTTCAGCCTCTTTTCTGACCAGGAACAAACAGAAAAGCTTTTAAAGCACAAATACTAACAATTCTGCAAATGGGGCCATCAGTAATGGTACACTTCTTTTAAACTGTGTCACTGAATTAGATTCATTATAAATTTAGATTAAGCCACATAGGACACATTCATCAAGACAAAAACATGAACTCACCGTTCATGTTATGAGAAACTGCTGAATAAAACCATCACTTTGCAAAAGATGAGCATTTCCAGACACCTAACCCACAGTGTGATAAAAGTCACCTGATATTATTCCCAATAGAAAAGTCATTAATGATACCGTAATGCACAATTTTCTTAGGTATAAAGCAAATGATATAAGATCACCAACTTAACACAGCGGATGCTCACAGCAAACACAGAAATTAATTCCATAGCCCAATAATGTTGAGTCTCTGCTAACAAAAATCTTTTCTAGTGGCCGTGAACATTTAATGTTTCTGTTAAACTTGTTTCATAAACTAAAAAATTACCTCACAGAACAATGTAAGCTTGTCATCTGGTAAAAGTCCATTTGCTTCATCAAGCAGAAAATCTCTCCTAATAAATTTTTTGAAACCCCAGTCCTTCCCTTGGACAAATCGATACGCTCTTTGGCTTTCTAAATGGAGAAAGAATCAAAAGAGGGAGGGAAAAAAAAACAAATTTCACTTATATCTTCCTAAAGCCATTTGTACTGAAACAGTTAAGCAGGCTTCTCAGTAGCAAAACAGAATTTTAATTACTAGGTGACAAACAGTTATGAAACATCAACTCACAATGGGCAACAGTCCGATATTTGTGGTTGCAAAATGCTTTTGTACATGACATTATGAGTTGGCTGGCAAATTATGTTTAGCTCATTTTTTGTTGCTAAGTGCCTTGAGATCCCTTGGCATGATAAGATGCTATATAATTTGACATTCCCGTTGTTAACAAAATGCTAACAGGCAGCATCAGTGCCTTCTGTGGTGACAAAATTAATGGTAACATTTTTAGCGCTTACCCATAGCTTTAGTTTCTTCTCTCTTCGCATTCAACAAAGAGAACTTGAACTTTGCTCTTACTTCACTTTTGGGACAACTAACTAGCAGTAAATACAATGACAAATAGTCTTTGCTTTCATCATCCAGTCCCTTTGGGTTTACTCTCAGGCACCTATAAAACAAAAAGTATTTATGAAATGTTCAAACAAACTGAACTTTAGTCGAGAGACGAGTGATCAATGAAGGAAAACAATTTGGAGAACAAAATCAATGGAACAGAAAATGGCCAAGGGATATGAACCTGGCTGAAACTCTGCTGCAGACCATGAGTAAAATTGACGACAATGATCAAATGAAAACTGAAGAACTGTATTAAAGAAATAATAATAAAAACAGCACCAAACATTAACCCCACTCTTAATGTTATAGTGCTACGTATGGCACCAGCAAGAAAGACCACAAAATACTGACATCTGCCAAAAGAAAAACAGGAAGCAGCAAGATAATGAGGAGACACTTGCTTTTCCGCAGGTTTCGCTACACTATCCATCTGCCTTCTAACCACTGCTTCTAATGCAGGGTCACAGGGGAGCCAGCGAGCACCAAGGCAGGGGACAGCTCGGACAGGATGCCAGTCCATCACGAGGCAAACACTCACAACAGGGCCAATTTTCCCAGAAGCCAATTATCCTACCAGTACGTCTTTGGACTGTGAGAGGAAACAGGTGCACCTGGTGGAAACCCATATGAACACAGGGAGAGCAGACAACTCCACAAAGCCAGGAACCGAACTCGGGGCCCCAGAATTGTGGGGCAGCAATGCAAACCAATCACGCCACTGTGTCGCTTCGCTACACTCATTTTGTAGGATTTTGTGCGGATGTACTACAAATAAAACTTTTTGGCTCACTTAGAGGTTGTAATAATGGAGTCTTACCATTTCATTTTATCATTAGGTCCAGAGGAAAAAGTGGAACTCTTCAGAACTTCCCCCATCTCCTCTCGACAAAAACTAAAGTTGTTTATGGTCCACATGTAGGAAAACTTCACTACTTTAACCTAGAAAACAGCAGACGTCTTTAAATTTAAGATAATAAAAAATCAGAGAAAAGAGTATACAAATGGCTTCTGGCAGCATCTTCCAAATTCTTATTGGGCAGAATTAAAAGAGAAACAACAAAGGAAGTTGAAGCAAGTTTCTTGAGGTTTCTGCTGTCTTCATGTTTTTTCATGAAGAATGCAAACCTACAAAATCATTTTGACACATTTCAAATGTGATGCTCTGGTATTTCATTGGACAATGCTTCATATAATGTTTTTTTTTTAAATAAGCAGAATGAAGTTCACTTGCTCACAACAGGATAATGTTGAACCACAACAAAACAGTGGAAAGATTTGAAAGCACTGCAAGAAACTAACAAAAGGAAGTCTATACAGCAACCATGATGAGAGCTTTAAAAGCCAAAAGCCTTACTCCTGCTGAGCTGTTTTTCTCGAGGAGTGAAATCACACCAGGCAAGGCCTTTACAGCTTGCTGCAGTGCAGAGAGCCATGGGAGAACCTCAATTACTCTACCTGTGTGTAACACCAGCTTTCTGCCACAGGTCCACTGGACATCTCTCCAGGGGGAGGGGGGGTGGGGACCCCTGACATCGCCACTTTGACCAGCTGGCAGGGTGCGCCGGAGTGGCTCCGAGTTTCAGCAAGTAACCTTGAAAATAAGGAAAGCAAGCGTGGAAGTGAAAAAGAAAATGATCTTGCCTCCATAAATGGTGTTGCATCAATTCTTAATGAGCTGCACTCAATAATATACAACATACCTGATTCCAGATCATTTCATTGTTAAAATTCATGGCAGTTTAATAAAGAGCAGAAGGGCCCTATCATAAATTGTTTTACGCTGAGTGCTTTTACATATCACAGTAGTTTTAATACCAGCAAACAAATGTAATTAATTGCAATGCACACAGATATAAGTAGTTTCCTACCACCATTTTAAACATTTGCTTCACATTATATTCTTTTCAAAAGATGAATGTAATCTTTTGAACAACATGCAGGAAAAAAACACGCTGCATAGAGTAGGTAATCTACTCCTGTCTTAGTACTGCAGTTACAAGAAAGACACACTGGTGATGTTTATGCTTCACAGCTCTACTGCTTGGAAGAAGTTACACATTGCATTTAAAAACATTCTTGTGATATGAGCTTTATTACTTTTAAATTTTTAGAATGCAAACTAACAGTAGCTTCTCAATCAATAAGCAGTGCATCTGATGGGGAAAAAAGGCAGAATGGGCCAAGAAAACTGCCTTTGGCTCGGTCTCTCAACTGTCCAGGAAGTGCACACAGCAAGCAAACCAATATGTTGTCTGAAACCAAATCAAGTCCAGAATTCTGATAATCTGAAATTCCCACAAAAACCTGCCTGCTGGTCTGAAAACGGGTTTTTTTTTAAAGGTCAAGTCACATGTACAAGTCAGCACTCATCATTTTTTTGCTTGGTTTTTAGATTACATTACTTTTAATTTAACTTAATTAATTAACCAAAGTAAAGGTAATCAAAGACTGACGTTTTTGGGCAAACGCAAGCATAGCTCTAAATTTTCATTTGAAAAAATTTGTACATGGACATTTGTCAGTTTCAATCTCGGTTAGATCTGAAGCAGTCTCTCCAAGCCTCCTCCTTACAGCAGGTTTCAAATGATGAATGAAAACAGTTTGCTCAGTTTCTCGCTTCGTTCCCCCTAGTTCCTGCTAGCATAAACAAATTCCTCATTTACTGTCGCTGGTTCCGGTTAAGTGTCTCAACAGGCCCAGTGCAGGTCTCCACATGTCCAGCAGCTACACAGAGTTGTGGGTGTGACCATAAACAACAATGGGATGCAGCCCTAATGCAACTAAAGTTTCAAACCTGGATAATGCTACGATGTTACATTTTCATTGTAATTTTACATCATCACATATATTGCACAAATAAATTAAATTAAATTGGCAGTTGGGCTTACTACAGACATCCATACATTAAGTGTGCCTAACTGTGCTTTAAAGCTAAAACAAAAATTACTTACTTGTGTTGTTCTTTGGATGCATGTTAAGACTTGTATATGAATTTGCAACTAGTACATCTGCTGAAAGCACCCTGCACAAATAAGTTATCTAGACCACATACAGAGCTTGGACAAATTTGTCCCTATCGAAATACTCAAAACTGAAGTTCAAAAACATGATTTGACAGAGATTTTTCAAACGCTATTATAAAAACTAACAGTCTCAATTGTTTTTTTCCCCCAGATCAATAAGGCTTTGTTTTTTTTACAATTTTACAAAACATATTTACAATTTCTCTTTAAAGAGAAAAGAGACCTGTTCTACAAGGTCATCATATGTTTCAAACTAACAAATTAAGTGTAACACAAAAACATAACGTTCATTTCCAAGTGCTGACAATTTGGCAGGGTGCTGAATATCAGACATCAGCTTAACCATACAGTATTTTAACTTTCATGTTCATTGAAAATAACACGTATGCAATGCTGAGTGTCTTTCTTGCACTAATAGAAACTACTGTTAATATGCCTTTGGGACTTATTTTGGTAGTCTGCCTTTCAATTTTGTCTAATATAAAACTGAAACCTAACACACTGCTGCGGGCTGGAGAATAACTCATACAAGAAGCAGTACAATTAACAGGGCTAATATTACCCAATAACAAGTGTAAGCACATTTAAAATATGGCATTAAACAAAGCACTGCATTAATCAACAGAAGCAGAAGTTAAGAATTTCCTGCGTCTCTCCAAACATATACTCTATTGGAGGAATTTATCTATCATCATTTCAGATTTAATCCTCAAATACAAGCACCCTGTAAGTTAAATGCTCTGCCACACCGAACATAACGCTGCCAAATGTCAACAAGATCCTAGACCACATTTTAGTCATACAAGTATGAGATGCTAATTTGGATATTTGCACAGGTACCATGATACAGAGAGAAAAAACTGGGGTGAGAAGATATTCTGCATCAGAGAATGTGACACCTACCTAACTATATGAATGTAACGGACCCTTTTGTAACAATTTCTTAATATTTTAGGTTAAAAGTAAAGAACGCGCCATTAAGATAAATTACAGACACTAACTGAAATATCTTTAAATATACAATTTAAGATAGCCTACATCTTAATAACCTTAAAAAGGAAAATAATATGGAAAAAAAAAACTTTGTTAGTTCTTTAGCAATTAATCAGACCATACAACCTTATTCTGAGGTGTTTAGGTCAATAATATGGAAGCTAAAGATTCAAAAAGTAATAGTAATAACCAGGAGAACTTTCTGATCTATCAAAAGAACAAAAAAACACCTCTGCCATTCTGGGTTTTATTGCGATTTAACAAAGCAGGTGGGAGTTTACTGAACTGTCTGTACTTACCAAGTCTTTTGGCGAAGGCAGAAATGTCATGCTATTACTGAAGTGGTGAGCACACCATGAACACAGGACAGAACGTGGGTGAACGGCTGTTATGGGACAGCACTGAGAATATGAAGGCAGAGGCTATTTGACTAAGTAATCACCGCATCCTTGGTGACCATCACTGTACAACCCATTCTAAAAAAAGAGAGAGAGAAAATAATTAATTTAATGGCACAGAAGATGTCCATCTGAGAAGAAGTATTAAATTAATAAACTACCAAGTTTTGGGGTCGTTTTAAACTGACAAGAAAGCACAGTACGATGAGCAGCTTTAACCTGCTAAAAAACTTTTTTCAGAGGACCTCTGACAAAAGTACTGAGGGGGTATTATAAAAAGGGACATCTGTACTTCTGACATGACATAACAGTGAAAAGGAACTGAACTAAAAAGAATGTAATTCTCTGAAACCACAGCTCCCAGATTCAGGGGTAAATCATTCAGTAGAATCACGAAGAGTACAGACAATGCCTTCTCAAACCCACTGCAGCCTTTCCTATCCAGTCTGAGTGTGGCATGAATTCCAAAAAAGACATTCTAAGAACATGCTGTTACTCAAAGAAAGTGTTGCACCCACTGATCTGCTTCTGAGAAAAGAGATAAAGGTATAGGGCTTATAATCATTAAATGCCTCACTACTTTCCCACTGTCAAAACAAGGTTTAGGCTACAGTGGCTTTTTAAAAAGAGATTCAGAGCTGTGTAATTTCTAAAACAGTATGCTGAATACAGAAACAGAGCCGCAGACAAGCACTGACAGCTTGCATCAGAAATTAATTGGAACATATCCACCACCTGCTATAATTCTTTCAACAACCTTAGAAGAGGCATTATTAAGAAATGTTAACAATATTGAGAAACTAAATTAATAACATTTAAAAAGCAGAATGAAATATATAATATTGTGTCAAATAAATTCAGAATCCCAAATTAAATGCATAAATATCATCATAAATTATTGTTGACTTGGACTTCAAAACACTATGCTCACTAAGCCTTTTCTTTCTGAATATTTTCTGTGGGTAGAGAAAACAAATGAACAAAATGTTAGCATATGTAGGCAGAAGCACAATAAAATAAAGAATCTTAAAATTTCACAATGAATTAATACGACCTCACACTTAGAATAGTGTGCACAACAGCACAAACAGATCTTTCTAACTGGTCCGACTGTCACTAAGTAGTTGTTAGTGGGGGCAGAAGCTCCTTAGGCAGAAACTTGGTGGGACGTACCACTGAGGGGTTCATGTGGGTGAAGAATGGGTGAGGGGAGCGGTGGCTCTGTGGCTAAGGATCCTACTCCCTTGGGCACCTGAGCAAGGCTCTTAACCTCCCTGCTCCCGGGGTGCCATATACATGGCTGAAACTGTGCTCTGACCCCAAGCTTCTCTCTCCCTGTCTGTGTGTCTCATGGAGACCGAGCTGGGGTCTGTGAAAAGACAAATTCCTAATGCAAGAAATTGTATATTGCCAATAAAGTGATCTTATCTATTTTAATGTTTATATTATATTTTATTTTGTTGTGGAAATAAAAAATATACATTTGTTTACAAAATAAAATTTTGTGCACCTATACAACCACTGCTCTGGTCCCGGTTCCCAGGCCATTAGTTCTGTCCTACAATGACAGACTAAAAGAACGAGATTTTGTTCAGTCTTGAACGGAAAAGGCTACAAGGAGAAACTCAGCTGAGGAGTTAAAGAACCTTCTCTTGATTTGTGACCTTTCTCAGGCCTCACTCCTCCTACACAACCCTTTTGTTTGCCCTCTTTACAGGCGGCCGACTTAAGATCCTGGTCTTCGCCTTCCAGTCCCGTCATCACTCAGCTCACTCCTCTCTGCCCTTACACCCCTCTAACGCTTCCCGATTCTCTTCTGCTCTGGCTCAGCTGTTCCTCCTCTTGTGCTGCTCACACCCCTGTGTTGGAGCTAAAAATCTAGAAAGATGAAGTCTCCACTTTCGCAAACCCCTTCTGAAAGCACTACCTGTTCCAACTACATTGCTCTAATTTCCATAACTTGTATTGTTTCAGCTATTCAACAAGTTCAGTAACAATGTAAGTTACAATGGATAAAGGGATCAGCTTAATAATAATATTATTAAAACATGAAGCAAGGTTATCTCAATAAAAAAGTCCTGTCCAGTAAGGATATCCTTTAAAATATTCTTCAAGACTAAGGATGATCTAAACCTCAGCCAGCTGGTTATACAGCCAGCGCTAGATGAGGGATAAGCACAAATCTATACCACTTCGGTCAACAGCACGCGCGTGTACAGAGATGGCCCTGAATATAACTGCTCAGCATAAACTTCTAAAGAAAAAATAAGTAGCCTGTCTTGGAAGAACAGGCCCATGGACATGTTCTTCCATGACATGTAGTAATTGAAAATAATAACAATAATAATAATAATAATAACAAAATTACTTTATTAACCCTTTACAATTTCTTGCATTAGGAATTATCTTTTCGCATATCCCAGATTGCTCTCCAAGAGACACACAGACACACAAACAGGGAGAGTGCCTGAGGTCAGAGCGCAGGGTCAGCCATTGTACGGCGCCCCTGGAGCAGTTGGGGTTAAGGGCCTTGCTCAGAAGCCCAACGGAGTAGGATTCCTCTGCCAGCTGCGGGATTTGAACCAGCAACCTTCCAGCCACAGGCACAGATCCTTAGCCACAGAGCCACCGCAGGAGACATCCCAAGCAGCTCCACCTGTAAGGATGTTCACCTGAGCGTAGCTTGAACTCAGTGATTGTAGGTTCGACTGTGGGTCGGGTCGCTAGCCAATCAAACCCAGAGCTTCCCAAGTGGCAGAACACAATGGGCGATTAGGAGGTGGTTGGGTTTAGTTAAACATGACTCTTTCAAATCTTATCAACACAGCAATCCCATCAACTTCTCAGGCCCTTTCAGGCACACGATGTCAGTGAGCGACACCACTAAACAAGTACTGAATCTCAAGGAAGGGGCTGTGGTGAGCGTGACATGTCAACAAGACAACTGACTCACAGATAGGAAGGTAAGAGGAATCTGAGATGTGAAAAATAAATGGCTGTTCCAGGTGGGTATAAAAAAATAACTGGCAATAGTAAAATGACAAAAAAACAGCAATAGAAAAAAATACAAAATCTGTGCAAGAACTACTGAGCATTCGTTCCTCTCAAAAAATGTACGAAGATATAAGGACCAAATTGAAAAGCTTTCTAATGCAGTCATGGACAACTCCAGCACTTCGGAAGTAACAACAAAAGGTCACTTGTCAGATGCTTTTTGACTAAAATGACCTACAGAAACAATGATCATCAACAGTGTTATTTTTCTTACAAGGGAGAGCAACACAAGCTGTTCCAGGGACTTACATCACTATGATTGCAATAAGATGTGTGGCAAGTTATTTTCTCCAGGTCTTAATCAGTTGCTCCAATAAATTTAGCTCTTAACCCAGCAGGATTCTGCCTCTGAGGTCTCTTGGTTACCCTCCCTTCTCCTCAGCAATGAGCTGTACAGCAGCCCAGTTTCCCCAGCAAATACAGCACAGCAGGGAAACGCCACTGTAGTTGCTCCTCAATGCTGCTCAGTCTTCTAGCTTCCTGGCAACCTAACACTAAACCCCATCTTGGGATACTTAAATCATTATACCTGTTACATCAGAAGAAGGCTCTACAGCAGAAATGTTTACTTTTCAGTGCGAAATCAACCTCTGCTTCATCCAATTTCCAACTTTCAGTTTAATGCAGCTTCCCAAGCTAATTATTTTCCAACTGAGACCTCTGTAAATAGTTCAAACTTTAAATTTGATAATTTGAAGAGACACAGAGTATCATGGAGAATATCCACTCACATCCTCTGGTACACATCAACCACACATAATTCAGTGATAAATACAACTATAACCTGTTCATTACTGATATATAGCAGTTGTTTTTCTAAACGGCCATATTTCAGCAAACAGTTAACACTCTTAACGAATCCTGATGACTTTAGATTACTTCTCTTACTCTGTGCTGACTCTTGAAAGAGTCTAATTGGACTACACCAGTGGCACAAGGCGATTCCTTTTTGAGATTAAATTGTCATTGCAGCTGCCTGTGAACAAGACTTGTAAAGAGTTTGCTTTCTTCAACAGTGAAACAGAACTATATTCAGGAAAAGAAGCAAATATACAAATTAAAAGGCAGCAGTTAAGCATTATTGGACTAGCAGGACATTTACATATAAACACCTATTTCACAAAGAAAAAAGGGGGCATTTAAGTGAACAAACTCTTTCCTGAACAGCACGTATCAATCTGTTCAGACAGTTAGTAATGCAGCTTCTGTTGTAGGCAGTACAGTTCACCTGCCCTGCCTCAGTCACATATCCATCCACTGAGTCACTGACAGTCCAGGATAATTAATTGTTTGCTGTTAAAAAGACAGAAATGTACGTCTCCATAACAGTGTTACTTTCCTCTCATCCCCGTTTCCTGCAATCCCGTTTCAACAGTTCTGGTGCATTAAAGACCAGTACAAAGTATTGAGACTTTTAAACCATCTGTTTAGGCAAGTTTATGTTGAACAACCTGCGATGAGCGACGTAGACAAACTATTCCAGATAAACTACGTGTGAGAAAACTGCAACCAGGGCGTCAGGACGGATGTAATCTAAACGACACTAAAGTATTAGAAATGTTTGCGTGTATGAATCGCTGCCTCCTGATGATCAGATGCTTAACTCCAGTATTTACTTTAAATGAAACGGCATTTCGAAACAGGAATTCTGCCATTTGTCATCGCCGGAGTTAAGACCCGATATACACCCGAGAGAGAAGTCCTCAGGCTCGACCCGAGAGCTAAAAAACTTTTTTTTAATCCTAAACGGATTCCCAGGGGACATCTGTGCACCACCCACCACCGAAAAGGGAGTCTACGCTGTGCCCTAAGTGAAACTATATTCCTCCTCCTCGGCGCCGCACAAAGAGCCGCATCTCGAGTCAAACTCGCTGCGAAGTTTGCAAGTTACACTCCGGCTGCGCTCCGACACAAATGTATCGAGTTCCGGCTCCGCCGGGATCGCGGTCCCTGCAGGGTAACCTCTCCCCAGCACCGTCACACCGGACAACAGCCTACTTCCTCCGCACATCCTCCACATCCACGACTGCCCACACGGCGGACAGAGCAGCGCGCCGGGACCCCGGTCAGCACACGGCTGGGCTCCGGTGCGGGGAGTGGGGGTGTGGGGAGTGGGGGAGCGGGGGGGGGACCCCTCTGCCTGGCCTAAATCACCCTCCCCGGCCCGACACCGGCACCAGCCCCCAACAAAGGCCCACTGCCCACTGCAGCCTCGCAGGGCTTCACACCGACTTTATTCACCCAGCGGAACCGCACCTGGAAGCCCCTCAGTCCGGCAGAGGGGCCTGAACCAGCAACAACGCTCCCCTTTGTGTAGGAAAAACCCCAAACAACACCGTGGGAAGGAAAAAAAAGACAAAATAAAATTGTGTACGAACCTTTCCTTCACTCCTCCACCAGGGACAGACCCCACACATTTGCTCTTTGCAGCTCCCCTCGCTTTTGTGTTAATGTAACACTTTTAAATACAACTTTTAATCCTTTCCAAAAAGGGAATTATTGGTGTATTTTGCTCTCAAAACAGCTCAGTGCCCATAGCGGCGGCGGCAGCCCTGCTCTGCTCCTCAGCAGCTCACGCATGCGCGATGCGCCCTGCTCTTGCAGAAACTTCCTGCTTGCAGCGCCGGCTGCCTGCGCCCTGCCTGAGCCCTGCCCTGAGCCCGCTGCACCCCGCGGGCTGGCACCCTCTGTCCCACAGAAACTGCAACCCCCCCGGCCCGGTGCTGGGCTCCCAGCACGGCCGAGTTGCGGGATCCGTGCGGACAGTGGCGGCGCCTGCCCTGCAGTTGTGTTGGCTGTGGTTTCAGTAAATTACTAGGCCTTGGTGTTCTGCTTGTTCTGTGAAGGTGCAGTACTGTACCAACAGAGGGCTAATGAGGGAGAAGGACAGCGCTGTAGTTGGTTCAGAGTGGCTGGCAAGACCGATTGATTTATAAGAGGACAATTCCTATAAACAAATCTTTAAAGTGGGTTAATTCAACCAATAAGACACTGTTGTATTTTGCTAGATTTTCAGGCATTCATTGAAGACATTACTTTTCTGTCCGTGTTTTTTCTGTGCACAGATATAAAAGTGACTCCTAGTCACTAGATGCTCTGAAGTTTTCCTGGTCATCTTTAGAACCTTCTGATTCCCCGCTGTGAATAACGACACTTTCATGCATCACAGGAATACTGTTGCTTTGCTTTAAGCGGAAATGTGCTTTCTGTCAAAATAGGTTGTTGTTAACTTATTTTTCATTGACAGGAATTAAATCAGTGACCTTGTCATACAGTTGTACTGTATCTCATTTGTCATTTATTCATTTTGGTATGTCTGGTTGTACATTACCATTTATTTCTGACAGAAACAAAATTGGGGGGACTTGTTTTACATTTTTCTGCAGGCACTATAAGCTTTTTTATGGTGCTATATATGCTTTTAAACAGCTTTGTGGCTGGATAACTTAATGTGTTTTGCCTGTGCAGGATCCATTTCCAAGTTTTCACATTCTCAGTGTGATTCAAATTGCTAGTAAGAATTCTAGGGACTGTTATTTGCCTCTGGCTGTTACAAACATACCAACTGGTTTTAATATCATCTTTGTCAAGAAACTGTTTGCACTGCACACACACACAAAACAAAAACATAAAGAGAACAGCAACTGTAATCCACATTTGTTAAAAAAAACTTCCACTATTGAATATGGAAACTCCTGGCTTCCTGGCTCTAGAAACGGTCAGCACGCTGCACACCGGAAGGGCAGCATCTGGGAATTAAGGGACTGACATAGAAGTGCAACTTCCCCTAATTACCCACAGGGAGAATCCAACCCCCCATGTTTTTATTTGGCTGAATTAGTGACACTCAGAATGCTTACTGTGTATGACTCTGTGTGCAAAAATCTGACATCAGCTGAAAATATCCTTCACTTCAAAACAATGGCTTACAGTCTTCAGTTTGTACACATCCACTGCACACAATTCTCAAAAAATAATGATATACTGTGGGTATCTGTCAGTTACCTCTTTTACTTTTGCATTTTATCTACCATTTTGTAGCATTGTGTTTCCATTTTGATTCTGAATATGTTTGAATGCATAATTTTAAAAAAATGTGACATGAAATGCTGACGACTCTCACACCTGTGCCTGTCTTGTGTTTGGCAGCACACACACATACCTGCTTCTGCATTGTTTGCCTGCATGTGAAACGTGCCTTGAGGCCAACTGTCTCTCACCTGTACCTTTTTAACTGTTACAAGCCTCAACCTGAACTGGCAAACACTACAGTCCACTTTGTGCCAAAACCCATGTTTACAAAGGGAAGATTATACCTTTAAATTCCTTTTTTGTGTTGCCTGAAATCTGTCTGTTGTTTAAATACAGATCTTTTTATTCGTGTACACACATATAATGTATACTGTATGTCTCTATATGAATATGCTAGACTCCAACTAAATTCATTATAGTGATGAGGTTTAGAGGTGATTTAGCATGTAAATCCAGATAGATATTTTGTATTTTTATACAAAATCTGACAAAAGAGTTTAGAAATTAGAACAGAATCTTATCACGTTATGTACAGTATGTTTTTTTTACAAAAATAAGATTATTATTGTACTATTGATAATAAGGTGATTATTCATGATTAAGAACTCCACTTGTTGTGACAGATAGCAACTTGACTGAATGGCTCATCCTGATTTGACAACATTCCAGTGGGACAACACGTCCTGCTGCCTGGTAAGCAACAACAACTTTGCTGAGATAAGAATGTGGAAATCTTGCCTTTGATTCCCTACACTCCAGATTTCAGGCCCACTTAACATTTGTGTGGACAATGTGTGGTAGCTAAGGCTCAGAGATCAGTGCTTATGGCTTTCCAGGTTCTGTGAGAGGAGCTGCACTCAAAGTATGTGAAGATATTAAGCATATATTGCAGATGTTAAGCTTGTATTGATTCCAGTGGTGGCTACACACACAACTCTAACATGTCTTACATCATCAAACAAGGGAGCGTTACTTATGTCCTTTAACCATATTACTGTATATACTGTAGTGCATTATGCAATGGTAAAGTGGGGAACTTGGTAATATGCGAGATTGGCTATTCATGACAGTTCTCTGCACCAAACCCTCGTGAATGTCGAGGAAGAATCAGAGGAGGAAGGGCCTTGCCAACTTGGCGCCTGAGAGTGGGGACATATTGCCTGTTGCTCCTCGTCTGTACTGAACTGTGAACTTGATATCCAGTTAATGGAAATATATTTACCATCAGAAATTATATCTTCACCCACCTTTGTAAGTTCCCTTTAGGAATCAGTGAGAGCCTAATGACTCTTTGTCTCTAATTAACAGGGAACCAATATGCCACTGGTCTGTATTCAGACACAATACCAAGAAAAATATCTTTGTGGAATCTGAAATTTACTGAAATGGACTTTAATGGACTTTTAATAGTGACTATATCTGAACAGTGTGGATTGAGAAATATATTAAATCGTTTTTTATATTTTTGCTATCACTGCCTGTATGGGATGGCCAGGAATGTCTTTTCCACCACTTGCTAACAGCAGGTTGGCTGTTAGGGTAGACCTGGACATGGCGTATAAGATCTGAGGTCAAGCCAGTCTGCCTCTTTTTCTCTGCTCTCTTAATTTCCTCACATTCCTCGGAGTGACCATGGAAGAGAGCTGACTAAATTTAGGGGTAACAGGCTTGCATTTCTCTGTATAGTTGGGGGAACATTAATTTCCTCTTTGTCAGGCAAAGTCCTGTCCCTGGGGATATTGGGAGATAAATGTTTCTCAGAATAGTGTTTGAGTGCTAGAGAGGGCATACTATCCTGTGAAGGGTCTTAGCCGGGAAACCAACTTTCCCTTCGGAATCTTCCAACTTTCTTCTTGCTGCTGTAGGTTTGGTCCTCCTCTGAGAGCACAAGCTCAAGTGAGAACAGATGTGGACTGTAATAGGCCTGGGCTCGGGCTCTGCCTACTTCTCTAAATAATTTGTAGCTGGTAGCTGGTGTAATGGTGTTGTGTTGCAGATACCTATTTGTTTTTCTCTGCTGTCTTTTTCATGTCTCCACTACTTCACTGTGCTGGGAAAAAGAAACCATCCTCATGACAGTGCTCAATATCTCACGACAACGTCTGTGGTGCGTATAATTGTTAACTTTTATTTTGTTTGATAATAAAGCAAGCTGCTGTCCGACCTGATTTTATCACTCAAGATTTAATCATTAATTTGTTTACATCCCCCATGTGGTAAATCTATGTATTCAGCACATCTTTTGACAAAGTTGAATGAATAAATATAATAAAATATAAAAATTAAAAATGCTGATGTACTAATGTGCTAATGCTAATTTTGTTTTCTAAATTGACTTTAGCTCATACTAATGCACAATGGAAGCTCAGCAGTTTAATTAAAAAATTGGGCACATGCATGATTTTGAGAACATTACAAAATTGTGTGCAGATAAATTATTTAAATTGTATTGTTCCTCAGTACAACAAAATACCAGGCTCAAGTCATGATTTTATGGAAACGTCAGCTGTTCTGTGTTACTGTTTGTACTGTATATGTGTGGCGGAGCTAGTTCGGACACGGTGACGTCAGCGCCCTCCCTGCGCGTAGCAGGGACCTCAGCTGCCAGGGCTGAGGGAGGTCTCCTTCAGCTCAAGCCGCTGGTTCCTTGTTGCGTTATGGGGCGACCTGGGTTTGCACCCCAAAACGAAACGGGTGGCAGAGGGCATGAGCCTGCGCGGCACCGCCAGGGTCGCATATGTAGGAGTTAAAATTGTTAAAATTACTTAATTTAGAATACATATACAAAAATCTACTCAAAACAACTTTAATTAATGCTGGAACAGTGAAAAATACAATCGTGTAGATTGAATAATGTCGTTTTCTTCATTGCTATCAGCATAATTCAAGGCAGCCTGGTCTATGACAGAGGTTGCCTAGAGTATAAGATTATCAGCTTAAGCAATCGACACACTAGTTCAGACAACCAGGAAATGTTGTTCTGCGAGGGACAGGCAACATCCTGGAAGACAAAGGGTCACCACTTTGTCCCAGGACCGTCACATCTGTCTGATCCATCTGTGACAGCAGGAGCTCCAGTTTGAGAATTTCCAAGATGAAATAACCCACGCATCAGCAGAATGACTGTAGCTCACTCTGTGCATGCAAATGATCTGCATGCTTGGGGGCCTTTCAGGGTTAACCCTGACAGCTGAGAACCAAAATCTTCATCTTCTGTGGCCCTTTGAACATCAGAGGTGGCAGCTCAGAGAGATATGGGGTGTTTTATTCACTGATGAATGCCATCTTGCACTTGACAGACCTCATGGAAGAACATTATGCTGACTACTGCATTTTTAAGCCAATCATGACCAGCCAGCTTTCAGCACCTCAGGAAGAGTGGCAGAACATCCCAGAGTCACTGTCCAGAGGCTATGTTTCAATGCTGCCAATTACATATTAATGCTCCAGGAGTCATACTCAATTCTAACTTTGTAATGTTGACAGTTTTGGATTTTGTACAATTCATTCAAGACTTTTGATAAGCATTTTTTATCTTTTTGTTTTAATCTGTGTTGAAAGCATTTGAATAAATCTATTAGAACTGATCCTTCCTTTTCTTTTATTTATTTGTACACATGTACAGTACATGGTGTATATACTGTATGTTTGTAAATTTGATTTTCCTTCTTACCTTCAATCCTGAATTGTAGAGATTGGTCTTCCTGGTGGTTTTTGTGTATTGAATTCCTTAATTCTGTTATGTTAGTAGATTAATAGATATTGAGATATCTTTGTTATGGATATGTCTTTTTTGATAATAGTGTATTCAAGCCGACATTAAAAGTGGGCTCTGATGAAGGAATGTGCTTTTAAAGGGAAGGCTTTAAGGATTCCTGCCTTTTATCAAATTGGCTCTGTTTTACCTTTGCTGTGGTCTATATTTATAGGTATAAGCTTGTATTTGCATGCATTCCCCGTAAACTCCACACAAGAGAGAAAATTAAGCAAAAGAAAAAGCTCAGATTGCTGGAACTAAACACACACATTTCTGCATGTTATCTGTGCCAGTAGACAATGCCTGCCAGATGAGCAGAGAGGCAGGCTTTATCCCCTCCTCTCTTTCATCCGAAATGCCTCTAGTTTGCTGAATGTAAAACCTCCCTCAGCCCTCAGCAATTGTCTACAGAGGGCTGCTATAAAGTATCCACCTCTGATGTAACAGCTTAGAAATTCCTGTACTGTTCTGCTAAATGTAGTGTCATCTTAAAAAGATCAGCATCTTGCTGTGGCATTCTCTCATTGGTGATGTACTGTAACACCTTAACAACACAGTTTTTCCCATTTTATGCTTCAGGGGTTGTAGTGTACAGACTTGTGAGGGCAGTGGAGAGGATTTCACTGCCATTAATTCCATATTAATGTTACAAAAAAGTTGTGTATAGCTTACAAGACCAAATGTGTGTTAAGTAAATTGCACTACTCTCTTAAATAAAAAAAAACATTACTTGTAAATGCTTCCCAATAAACTTTAATAGGCATTGTACTTTCAGTATAGGAAAACTTGTTACAACATGGATCTGAAGGCAGTGCTTGCAGTTGAATGAATGTCACCAGTTTGGCTGTTTAGTGCTACAGTTATATAAAGAATCTGTCATTTAGGTCTTCTGAAACTATATGCTTTAATTACTCCCTGTAGGTTACTGATAACAAATTATTTTTTATTTTTCAAGATAAACATTTTCCAGATTTTGCTACAAAGCCCAACCGTTTCCTAATCTGTCAGGATTAGTATTTTCATAAAAAAATATTTGAATTCTGTATTATGCCAAGAGGGTTTTTGTTCTAATTATTATAATTATTTAGACCACTAAAAATCCATTACACTCATTAAATCAGACTCATGTAGACCAACACAGTTGTTTATAAAAGCACTTTGCCATGTGCAGATCTTCACCTCTGCCTTTCTTTGGATTGGCAGCCATAGACATGCCTGTGACAGGACAGCAGAGCAGTTAATACACAGAAGTGATACTCAGACCTGTAATGAAAAAGAGTGCAGTTTTTTAAAATTGCATAGGTAGAATTCTGGAACAATTGAAATAAAAAGTAAAAGAAAAACATTCTTGCATTGCATTAATCTTCATAAACATAATCAAGGCATATTACTTCATACTGTAGGTGTACCAAGCAATCACCTAAACCAGTACAATGAAACATAAAGAATAAGACACTAATTGCAATACCATGTACTTCCCTTCCTTCAATCATTAATGAATATTTTGCTGATTGGGTGCATGACACTCTGTCTCCCTCTTTATACTATATATATTTATACTGTAAGAAGTAATTACTAATTCATAAATACATGAACAATGTAAAAACACTGTATGGTTTCTTTGAGACACATTTTCAAATAATTTTTTTATAGGACTAAAGGTCATCAGAAATGTTGCTATAAACTGTAACACTTTTATGCCATTCCAAATACCTGTTAGATATGAAGGGGTATTTGTGTTAGATCATCAAAGCTTGCCAGGGATTTTGATTCAATCATTCTGATCACAAGCAAAGACAGAGACAGGGAATCCTCTATTAGAAATAATTGTTGAAATAATATTTCCAACTGGATGTCAAGGACTTCATTACACCATTTTTAAAAGTCAGATAATAACATTAAGGATGTAATCCTGAGTATTGAAACCTAGAAAAGATTTATCCTTTGATCTAATGTGATGTAAAGTTATATGCATAGTCTTTCATGAATTAAATTCTCTTGTTCTCAAAATAGTAACAAAAAATGTTTGACATTGAAATAATTCCTGTTCACATCATTGTAAGAATGTGTGTGGAGCAGTGTTGGAATGTGTGATGTCCATCCATTTTCTAATTGCTTTATCCAATTCAGCGTCAGGGAGGGGAGCTGGTGTCTGTCCCAGAGAGAAGATACAAACTCCACACAGACAGCACCCCTGTTGTTGAACCCAGGGCCCTGGTCTTGCAAAGCAACAAAGCTCAACGAAAGTCTGACATATCTGTTCTAGATAGCTATTTGGCCAGTGCCACAGAAAAGGAAGTCTTGTTTAAAGTGAAAGCTGCAAATTTAGGGGTGCTGGGGGCATTTCAGCCTTTGTGTTAAGTACCTCAGTTTTACAATTAATAGTTCTAGAGTGCATAGATATACAAACATTACATATATTATGCATTTATTAAGTCATAAAAACCTTCTTGTCATGTGTTTTGCCAGTATTAATATAAGTACAATATGATTGTTGTGTGTAAGAAGGACATGGGCACTGTTTGTTTGTATTTGGTTTGTTTAGATACTGGTTGCTAATCAATTCAAGGATCTCATCCACACATTTCCTAGAATTAGCCATTTCATTACATTAGCATTTCATAGCACTTGTGCATATGACAATAAACTAAAGTGAACCAGGATATCAGCTTTGACAACATGGCTGGGTAGCCTGTTCCACACTCCCACAGTCCTTTGTGTGAAGATGTTATCAATTTTAATTGCAATTTCCATTTGTGTCCTGCAGTTCAAGTTCAGTTCTGATTCTGAAGAAAAATGTTGTTGACTTAGTTGAAAGACTATATGAAAGACTACAGTCTTTAATCAGTTCTCAGTCCTTCACTGTAGGACATTTCTTTGAGCCTGGGAATAATCCTGGTGATTTTCCTTCAGATTGATTAGAAAGAAGCCATATTCTGTGATCAAAATTGTACATTCTGTTAGCCTTACTTCCTCACAGCAGTTGAAAGTGAAAATAATGTGTCTTTATCAATACCTTATTAAGCCTTTTCATAAGTAGAATCTTCAATCTCTGTTTTGTGTTTTTGCTACTTGCACGCATCACCCAGGTATTTAAAAAATAAATCTCATTCACCAGGTGTAATACCAGTGTCAAGAACAATTCTTTCCGGGCCCTATACAGACAACACGATCCGGTTGGTGAGGACACAGTAGGGAGAAAATCATGCAGGAGAAGAGGCTGGAGACAGGGGGGCGTGTCCAAGGCAAGCAGGCGTCTGGGGGAAGTGACGAACAATCAAGGACGAAATCTAAAACAGAAGAGTAGTCCAATGCCAGACGATCCACTCGAAGGACTTAAAAACAAGGAGCCTGGTAGGGACCAGCGGGGGGGGGAATCAGGAACGAAGGGTTAAAAGCATATCGGAGCCAACCGCAGCAGAACCCCCAGGTTCTCACGAAACGGGATTCAATGAGGAACCTCGGTTAACGTCTGCGGCTGGCTTTTAAGGGGGAACGGAAATCAGAAACAGGTGCAGTTAATGGGGCGAACAGGGAAGGGCTGGAGCGCCCTTAAGAGGAGGAGTAGCGATCGTGACAACTAGTCCAGAGTCCAATCTTTTTGTTTTTGTTTGTACATTCTACAATGTTTACTAGACTTCCATGTTTGGTATCATTTGCTTACTTGTATAATTTGCTAACCACCAGAATCTAGATCACAGAGATATAAATGAGGTAGAACAGTGTTGTTGCTGTAATACATGTACTGTACCTAATCCCAGATGTGTTCGTTCAACCCATTAAGTCCAACATAATCAACTGCTGGTGAATTATAAAAAGAACACCTTAATACTGCACACAAACATGCTTTATGGTATATTTATATTTTATTGAAAGTAAAGTTTTCCGGTGTGCAGTCCTCTTAGATGGTGAAAACAATATGCATTGTACTTGAGAGGACCTTGTAATGGTTGAAGTTAACAGAATTGTCAGTTAACTTCCTCTCATGAAATACCTTTTTGGAGAGTATTACATGGTCAAAAGACAGGGATTTTGTTTCTATGAATTTCTTCTTTTTCTGTTACATTTCCAATTGATGCTTTTAATGTATTGCTCTGGTGACATTCACTGACTTGAGATTTGCTGAAGATAGTATTTGAGTTGCACAGTCTATATTCGTGCTGTATTTTGATTGTGATTATCTGAAAGACACATTAAACAAGGCAATGAAAGATCTGAAGCATGTCTGTCCCATAAGGCCCCTGATAACCCAATTAGAGGACATAATTAGCAAGGAAGAAACAGCACCTCTAAGCATGTCCTCTAACTACAATTTACCTTATTCATTATTTATTGACTGTTTTGTACAGAGACCTTTTTGCAAAAAAAATAAGGTGGTTATCAAATGCAAAACTATTTTACACATCAACAATTATCAAATATTATATTTCAAAACCATTAGATGTCCAGCTAAAGTGAGAGAGAGAAAAACTCTGTTTCTTGTACACTGCTTTATTTCTAACAGTGTCATTTCTGCCAGTTCCTCTGAGTGTTACTCAAAGACCCCTGGAGTGATTTCTTTCTTAAATACTTCATTGCTCTATAACATTAACAATTATGATTGTTAATTAAATTCATTGTTTGAGTGTAATTTTTAATCTCTAACTGTCAGAAATTGTAATGAGTTTTAAAACCACTGATAGAAAATGTTTCCTCAAAGAAGCATGGTTTACCATCTCACCATAATTTAGGTAGGAATTCCAAAACGTTACAATTTAGGACATGGGACCCTGGAAAAGGAAACCAAGAACTATTTTAGTAAAATGCATACAATGCATGACATTTATTTCAAAATAATAAAAACAGAATATACTTGTTAAAAACAGATTAAGAGTTTTCAAAAATGAGATAACAAGTTGTAACAGGACTAATTTATTTTTAGACATATAATTGAAACCATACACCCTATATTGTAATAACAAAATCATTCAGGTAGACCTGCAATTGAAAGATAAGCCAGTGCTGAATTTTACCATTAGTGTCCAAACAGGAATCTCCATTATACAAGCAAACATATACAGTACAATTTGTTTTATTCATTATATTTCATTTATAAATATTCACAAACATACTAGTGTATTGAGATGTTGGGTATAAAAATTACTAAATAACAAACATCCATCCAATAGAAATGATCAAGAAAATGCAATGGTTTTGGGAGGTAGCCATCACATGCCACCACCGACTAGCAAATAAAGATTCCACATAGTATGGTACGCGGTATTGTACAGTACATACACAACGTCACTATAATCTGTTTCTGTGCACAGCTGTTGACATTACACAATCCTAGGAGAATGCAATGGAAGCAAATGCACACATGCATTTCTTAATAAGACCAAGAAAGAAATAAGATCAGGTCACAGGGGAAGCCCTGTATCCCAGATATCTATCACGCCCAGGACACCTAGAGGGCGCTCTACTTCTGTCCTGTTCCTAGTTCCCTGTGATTATTCATGTCTTTGGTTTGTCTTGTTGTGTAGCCTATTTACTTCTTGCTTCTGCTCTGCTCCTCGCATTGAGGTTCGAATGTCCTGAGACCCACCTAGCACCAGGTCACTCCTGTCCTTGGCCTGAGGACATAGGTTTCTATATGGCATTTCCTGAACAGCTGAGCCCGGGCTAACCCCCATCTCGCCGCTACACATAGGGTCTTTTTTGCTCTCCTGCCATTCCACGGTTCATCCCTTCCGACATCCGGGACAATATCACCATGTTTCGGACAGTGTTTTTAGCCATTGATGACCGGGATTCCCAAGTGGCAGAACTGGGCGACTATCCAGAATCTGCCTGGAATGATGGGCTTACACTGGCTAGGGTATTCTGCAGTAGCCACTTAACTGCGACCTCTGGCACTTGGCAGGGCCTGAGAGCTAGTAGAGTTATTAATGAGAGCTGCATCTGCACTCCATTGAATCCTGTCACCTCAGTAGGCACTGTGAGGTCATAGTGTGAAACTGGAGGATGGCTCTGACAGCAAACATATTTGGGGCAAAGAATGTGCACTGATCATACTTCACAAGATCTTGCAAGGATTGTAGCAGTATCACTGTGTCAATGAAGAAATACCAAATCCAAACTGAAAGATAATAAAATGAAGAAAATCAGTCTGTTTCTCTCTAAAGAAATTATTTCTCTGGAAGTTTACAATGTTTTTACTTTTTCTTTTACCATCTTGTTTGTGGTATCATCAGTATAGTCAGGTTATTCCTAAATTCGTAAAGCCCTATTTCACTGTGGGGATGAGAGTCTATTATCAGTGCAGATAATGAAGAATCCTTAAGGCAGTTTTAGAAGATGTTCAGAAGCAGCATTAATTACCAAGAAGATTAGTTATATATGTACAGAGAAACAGTGATAATAAGAACCAAATGAGCTTACTTAACCTTGTATACTGTCCTATTAGTTTTTTTAGACAATTATGACTAAAAAATAATTTTCTTTATTAACTTTAATAGTCTTTGATTTAATTGAATCTCCTTCTTGCTCCTCAGGATAGTATGAGACATGTTAGAGGACTGAAGGAACAAGAGAAGACAGTGAGAGAAACAAGCAGCAAAGTGCAGGTTTCATTAATTTTCACTGGAAGGTGTATCTACAGTGAAAAGAAGAAACAAGACGTTCTTTAATGTCATCGAAAGATTTTAGAAACTTGAATTACAGTATTGTCAAAATGTTACTGACCACTCTGTAACATAAATATGTTCTTGGTAAGTATAGAAGATAACGTTCCAGTTATTTGAGTTTCCATTGACGTTTTACTGTGAAAGACAGACATTGCATCATTTGAGTTTTCCCTTAGTTTCACCACATTTATATAATGTTCTTTTCTTGCTTTATTATGGTTTCCCAGTGGAGGTACCACAGTTCCTCTGTCTCTCCAAGGCTCACCCTGCGTTCACCCTGCACAAGGGCATCCACAAAGAAATGTTGCTCTGCATCTCTTCAACTACATTTTGACTAAAAAATTTAAGATTAAACAAAGTTAACTGTAACATCATTGTGATACATACAGTATGTTCTTGTTAAAGGCCCACTTGGGCTGGGATCAAAGTTAGATGAATATGCTAAAATATTTCTATCCTAAGTACAGACTTCATTGTAATTTATTTTCGCGCTTATCTGAAACACTGGTCCACGAAAAACAAAATGGCAAATTTAAAGGAAGTCATCATTCTTGCACTGTTAAAGGCGACATTCACCTTGGAAGAGGGCATCAGGTAAATGAATAAATAATAAATAGCCACATCGGCTACACGGCGTTTCTATGGCAACTGTTTTTTCAAATCAATCCCAAGACAAATACTATAATATGTTAACTATATATTAACTGTCTTGCAAAAGTATTTATCATTTACCAATGTTTTTCTTAATACTAAATACTGTATTCGTATTTTTAATACATTATGCTTAATCAAAAGTTGAATTCTTAAACTGAACATTTATTATCTGTAAAACAAAGCAGAAATTAAAATCTGTTGATTGCATTATTAATATTCTATTAACTCCATTTGCTCCTTCTCAATTAGCTAAGGTGCACTGAATTAAGGTTAAAAAAGTGGAAGGTGTATTGTAGCACCTAAACACTGCTTAGAATAGGTTGTGGCTCCAAACTGAGCAGCCAGGCAGGTTGAAAGTTTTTGTTTTTGATTACATTTTTCACTTTAAAATGCGTATACTGTACATCATCTGCATTTTGCAAGACACTGTACCCAAAGTAACTGTAACAAAATAGAACTATATCTGATAAAGTTGTGCATGAAGAAACAAAGTCTTCATATCACTTTGAATTATTGCCATCTCTATATGTATTAGTAAATATGTTTATGTTTTATATATAAATTGCCTTCAACTCACTATACCAATAGTACATTTGTGCATTTTAAATGTAACATCTACCTAATTTCTTTGACTTCCAGTAGTAAATGTAACTGAATCATGTCTAACTAGACTTTTAAAATAAATTAATCCAATCTTTTTTTTCTTTTGGGTTAGGTTAATATGTATTGCAGCAATATATTTTTAGCCTTACTTTTACAAACATGGGTTCTTGGTTGTTAGTTGAGAAGCAATATTGGTTTTGTTACCAAGATATTCCTAACTGTAGCTTCTTATTTTGTAGATTATTCAAAGAACTGGTTTATTTATCCTCTCACCAAGAATATTTTGGTATAAACAAGACCCTAATGGCCTTAAAATACTCTATATCAAAATGCATCTCCCTCCTAATATGAGGAAACCAGCTGACGAAAGGCAAGCCTTATCTGGATGTCAGGCAGATTGTGCTTCCATGCTCCTGTTTAAAGATTAGAAAATGGCAATGGACTGGGTTTCTGCAGATGTGATAGTTGTCATGGTGTTAAACACCAGCATCCAGCAACATGTAGAATTCCTTTACAGGGAATAACTTTCCAGTTATTTTAAGTCTGCAGAGAGATTTTGTCAGGGCTTTCAGTACTCTATTCCTGTATATAGCACTGCTTACAGTATAATATCCTTGGGTGTCTACAAATAAGAAGTTACAAATGAGAAGAGGCCTTTCATCCTGTCTAGCCCGTTTGTAGCTGCTGTTGTGGAGCAGCTGCAGTATCATCCTCAACAACACATTCTGAACTGCATTAACATTCCCCCATTTTCCAGAAACGTTATCCTCTGTCCCATTAGTCTGGACACCTTGTACCTTCCAGGCATTTTCACGCCAGGAAATCAACCACTCTGCATCACTAAAAATGTACAAACCTTCACAGCATCTGCAGGAGTTTCTAAAAGAAATTACAGTCTAGCAGGTTATGTTTGATGTGTCAAATTCATACACATGTATGCTTTATTGTTTCTGAAGACATAAAAATGAGATTGCCACAAGGAGTACTTGTGAAAAGCAAAAGGAATCAAATCAGAATGTTCCCTAGAGCTGGACACCCAGTAACAGCACACAGCCTGGCCCAGGTTTTTAAAAAGTATTCATAAGAAAGTTTTTTTTTTTTCAGACTGGTTGTTGTGCATGATGAATTATTCCCAGAACATGCAAATGTTTTAAATACAGCAAAAAGCAGTGAAGATTTTTAGGTCAACAACAGGGCTCTAGTATATTAGCATAAGTAACCTGGACCATTACTGGACCCCAGGAATCATGAAAGGAAAACCTGAGCTGTACACTTTACAGTTTAAAAGTCCAATTAGACTTCTATCCCTTGGGGCATGAATGGAAATCAGAAAGGAAAAAGTCTGTGAATACTGTATATATTGTTTTCAATTGCAATGGAATTACAGTATGTTTTTTTCTATGTGTGCAACTTGAGTAACAACTAAAATAATACAGAGGTCTGTAAGAAATGTAATGAATATACAGATTGTTATGTTTCTGTGTCTGTGTCTGTGTCTGTAAAAAAGAAACCGGTTTAGTTTGTATCAGCAACTTATACAGTATGTGTAATTTCTTTGACTACACAACTAAAATCAGAGAAAATAGCATTTTAAAAACAGCATTATCAGCTATTTATCGAAATGTGACATTATTGGTAGGGGTTGAACTCTTTTTCAAGTAATTGAGGCATGAGGTAGATGAGTTAATCTAATTTAAAACAGAATTTCTGGAATAAACACGTGATGTTCAATCAGACTGATTGCCCAAACCCTTTGTCACAGTCCCAGTATGTTTATGTTGTGTTGAATCTCTTTATGGACTGTGTTGGCCCAGTAATAGAATGTCGTTGAAAGACTTCAGCTGAATGTTAAGTAAATCTTATTTTTATAAAGTGATAATCCATCTTGTTGGGTTTCCTTTCTCAACCAAAGTACTCATAAATGAAAAATATAACACTTTAAATAACAAAGTGACTTTACTAAAATGTCATATAAAGGTTAAACATTACAAATGAAATCTCCACACATGACTCCCAGAGATTCCCTCCTGCCACCCCCCCATCCCCAGGCTATGTATCAGATGTGCTGTTATTTGGCCAGGAATCCTACTCAAACCCAATGTAAGAGAAAGCAGTGAATTAAAACCTGAATTCCCACCCCAAACACAACATGCATTCCTAGAAACTCACCCGGTCTAAACATCAACCAGTATGAAATCTCCACTTCAATGGCATTTTCACTTCTGCCTTATTCTTCATCTCTCCATGTAAAGGAGACAATTGTTCATCACCCTTTCAAAATATTGGCAAACTCTAAACCTCTGCAAGATTCAACAGTATCTGGGCTGAGTTATTTCCTTTAAAAGACAATACAAAATCAATTTTAATGATCAGAAAGCATTGCATGGGTAGGTTCTATTACAAATCACCACGTAGATTGTATATGAACATCATAATGTTCTTCAGGTGACACCACACACGCGAACAAGGCTCCACAGCCAAAGTGTTGTGTTTCCTTTCTTCTCTTTTCCGCTGGAATAAACCTTGACCAGCTCCCTACTTGAACTACCATAATCTACATCTGAGAAACTTCAGAAAGATTTTAAGTATGACCATCAGTCTTTCTTCCTAGCATATATATATATACAGTATTATGAGACTATAATTGGAAATATTGACATACCTCTTGCATGATAGCCTCTGTTTAATAACCTCTATTCTCCTTACTCCACTTAGAACCTGTTTTGTGTCCCAACATGTCTTTACAGCTAGAGTCATTCACCTCATCAGTCATCATCTGTGAGGATTTTCTCTTTCATTACAAGTAAAAAAGCTGCTAGGAGATTATTTGTTTAATGCACTGTTTTCAAGACACATTACTACCTATTTCTGGTGCCCTCTGAGAAATACTCTTTGTGCTTCTTAAGAAGGAAAATGCAGCTATGGGGTCATATTGTGCATAAAAACTCTTTGTTATTCCTAAAGCCCACAAAGACAAAAAGTATGCAAAAAGGAGCATGAAAATGTAACATTACAGACATATTTTGTATTTAATTCAGCATAGCTAACCTGAACTATTATAAATGTCCTATAAGCATGTGTTTCTATGGCAAATCATATTTCCAGGCTTTGCTGCAACTTGGAAAATTAGAGGTGTCCAGCATTTACAACAGATTTCCTAGTAGAAGAGTCATGATAAAATCCTGGGCTGTAGTAACATGTTTTAACTTTGATCTGAAAAAAACCCACATTTTTGCAAAACCAGGGGGCAGGCAGCAAGCAACTTTGAAGATAGCCCTTTGAAGTTGAATGATAGCTTTTTTTTTTACCTTTTTAGCAGTATTATGTTGGAAGCTTCTACAGGTCTAATTATCTGATATGTTTTGGAACAGATAGCATCTGAAAGGGAATAAATCTTGGTTTCTTTGCTTTTTAATTGCACATTTTGCACATCAGTATTGATCTGCATAATTTTCCACACCCTGCTGCAAGCAACTGGCAGCTTTAATTTCCTGAAAATGGAGCAATTATAGTTTAGGTAATATAAAGAACGAAGTTAAATGATTTGAAACTAGTTAAACATTTGGAAAACTGCTCATTAACCTTTGGACCTGTCAGACCTGTAAAGAGGGCTGGATATTCATCGTGATATGAAGAGTTGTGGGTGCTGGGGACAATACTTGTGTGCCAAATGATTCACTGGGTCCGTCAGGAAAAAGAGTCTGATGAAGTATTTGGAAGAGTGACAACTAAATGAGTCAAATGTGTTGAATGACCTCTTTTACTCCATATCAAATCACTTTTTTCAACAGCACACAGTTGTGGGGTCAAATCTACAGTGTGATACTACAGCAGTTGGTACTTTACTTGACAGAGAAAGGGTAGTTTCATTTAGCTACTGTGGCATCACACTGAAGATGAGACCTGAACACTTACCTGCAAGTGTTGTCCCTCTGGTAAAAGTATCACGATCTGAACAACTCCTGCCTCTCGTTTCCTATTACAGGAAGGTGAATTGGCCATGTGAAATCCATGGCTATATCAATAATAAATAATAATAAACTTTATTTGATATAGCGCCTATAAAGAGCTTTATATGGGTATCATAGATTATAAATATAAGGTAAGAAGCAGTTACTGTGAAGAAGTTTCTCTAAAAGAGAAAAGAGATGTAGGTGTTTAATATAAGATATTTTCTTCCTCTAGACAAGATGGAGATTTGGTAAAAAGGAAAATAAACACATTTTCAGATAAGAAACAAGTAAAGGTTTATTCCATGCTGCAAAGAGAAGATAAGAAGTACAACGTTTCAGCTGTGGAGCCTCCTTCAGACATGAGGAATGACTTAAAAAGAATTGAACTAAGAGCTAAAATAATCTAATCAAAGTCTTGATCACAGAAAACTTCCTGGGCTCCTGATTCATTATTTAAAATCCACAAAGGTATTGGCAAAGTGGGACAAATGGGTATCTCCAAGATCAAAACTGAAAAATGAACAAGGGGAAACAATGTTAATATACTGGGTGTATGTAAGACTGAAACAGGAAGCACTAAATACTGTAGCTGTGCTGTTGAAGCTGACACCCGGGTTTCTTTCAGAATAGACATGGATTGTATAATCAGATTACCTATTAGCAACCAAACTCACTAGCTCATGAGCTGAATGTTATTCTCTCTGTTGTATTTTGTACCTTTGTATGATATGAGTAATCAAGTATCCTTTAATTCTTACACTTCAAAGAAACAAAATGACTTTAGACAGTACCTTGTGGTGCTGTTAACCAGAAGCCTGCAAGAAGTGTTTCACTTATTCAACACACACAAAAGGTATGATTAAGTACCTGAGGTAAATCTACACCTCTGATATTGCTATAATACTGTTTTTAAAATAAGTTCCACTCTTGCATTAATTAGCTAGGTGCTGTTTAATTCACTGGTTCTTAAGTGACTATATTTGCAACCAACATCTATCTGCATAC